GGACCTACGGACAGTATTAAAAATGCAGAGACGCTTCATCAACGTGTCATGGGGGCTTGCGAAACCATTCCACACCGTGTGGGAGTATTTGAAATGACCCGCCAGTCAATGATCCGACGGGTGCATGCGTGTATAGAAGCAAGTGGATGACATTTTGAACATTGGTGTTTTGAGGTACAAGGATGACCTTTTCGACATGTGTTTATATGGACATTTTACCTTGTTTTTCTGTCAGGAACCCGCTGCCAAAGTTCGTAAAAAAGTATTTCTGATGCAATATATATATATATATATATATATATATATATATATATATATATATATAAAAAGAAATGGACAAAGTCCGACAATTTATTTATTAAAGACATTTTATGTTTAACGTTCTTTTTTTATAGATACATTGATTTATTGTTCGGTAGGCAAGGTCGAATTTACTGCTTATAAACTTCAATCTTCCATGAAGCTCGTACATTCATAATTGCTCATGGCGTATCAAATGTAAACAAATGACGTCATATATTAAGAAATGGACAAAGTCCGACAATTTATTTATTAAATACATTTTTATGTTTAAAATATATCGAACGCTCCTTTGTGGCCGAGAGGTTAGGCACGTCAGCGTAAATGACGGTTCCGTATAGGATGCAGGTTCGAATCCTGTCAAAGGACGAATATTTTCTATGAAAATTTCTCGGACATTCAGGCTGGTAAATGTTATTTAATACTGTTTATTATAAACAGAGCATTTACTTAAATACTTGTATCTATAAAAAAGAACGTTAAACATAAAAATGTCTTTAATAAATATATATATATATATATATATATATATATAATAAAATCGAAAACTTAAAAGACCATAGTCATATTTATTTCGTTAGAATCGAAGACTCGATCGCAACTCTTCAGACCGATTCTTACACATAAATATAAATGGACAAGGATTTTACCAGGCTTACAACACTCAGTCAGAACATAAATTATGTTAAATATGCAGATTCAAATTTGGGGGAGGAGAGGGAAAGAAAAGGTATGTATTCAGACAGGGCGAAGGTAAAGAAGAGAACAGTGAAATTACTCAAAATTTGGAAAAGAAAGAAAGAGGGATTTATTTAAGATTTACATTAGTCGGACTAAAATATTTTGTCGCTAAAGTTTCGGCCGTTGTACGCTCCGGCCTTCTTTCAGGTGGTTGGAATTTACTGAACCCTTTATTTCGATGGGGTAGACTGTTCTAATTCCACGTGCCATGTTTGATGGATGTCAGTTATCAGTTATCTCCTGCTAATTTTCCCCCTCTGAAAGTTCTCCACTGCCTTAACCAGGAATTGAACTCACCTTCTTTGGGTCTGTCACTGATCTAACCAACGCCTTTATCCACTGTGCCATGTGTCCTTGAGGAAATATGGCGACAAAGATGAGGACAATAGTCCGACTAATGTAAATACTGTACATAATACCTCATCTCAGAAATATAGACAAACTCGGATTTATTTAAGTTGTTCAAAAAGATATGTTGAGGTTGTAGACATGTTGACCTAATTTTCAGATACACATTGCAAAAAGGAACAGACTTCCTCAGATGCTAATAGAGAACACAGGGAAGAAGAAAGAAATGAAGGAGAAAGAAAAAGAAGAAAGGGAACCCGTTTGACGGTTGTAGAACAGCAATTTGCGTACTTATGTCTTTGTTTTCTTCAGGCCCACCCGAAGCTCTCAGCAAGTAGAGAATGGGTTTCGAGTAGTTTTTCGAGAATACATATAGCATTAGGTTTAATTAATTTAATCGAATAATAATTGCCAGGCCATATCGTTTCCATCTTCGAATGATACCTCTTATCGTAATGATGGGGATCTTGAAGTTCGTTGGAGAGCTTTCTATACCCATGATTATGCTGCCCAAATATCACTCTGTAGACTTCTTCAGCGATTATCTTTGGCTTCACCATTGCTTTTACAGAAATTCAGTTTCCATTGAAAGTAGAAATAAGACTTTTAAAATATTGATCTCTGTGTTTGGTCCCCTGTGGCTGGTTGAAGTAAATTTATAAATTAATAATTTGAATATATACTTCATAATTTCTTAATGTGTCCAGATCTTTTATACTATTTATAAATTAATAATTTGAATATTTACTTCATAATTCCATAATATGTCCACATCTTTTGTGCGTCACATATATATTTAATTTGCATTAAAATTTGTGCGTAGAAAGGGAAATTACTTATTCCTGTTTAAATTTATAATAAACTATGTATTTTCTATATTCACCTACATTTTTAGATTTGTAACCATATTAGAAACTAGCTTAAAAAGCCGCCCCTAATCGGGTGGTATTTAAACTGACTCCTGCGGAGGGATTTTGGTCCTTCATCCCAATAGGTAGGGAAGAGTAAATGCAATAAACAACATTAAACTACAAAAGAACACAAAAGTGATCACAGCATTTAAATATTGCATTAATATTTAAGCTTACCATTTAAAAGTTCAACGATAAGTTTTCTGATCGCTACTCAATTGAAAGACAGTTTGATGTGCGTAGGTCTTTACTCTATTTTTATTATTTATTATTATTTTTATTTTTATTATTATTATTTCATTTTATTTTATTTATTATTATTATTATTATTATTATGTCCTGGTTGACTTTCAGTGGATTTAGCACTTAATTTTGATTATTCCCAAATTTATTTCCAAGTTATAAAAATTATTATCGTACAAAAATTGTCACAAAAATCCAGTAATCGACGAAAACAACCGCACTAATGAAAGTTGAGAATTCAAAATTTCAGTATTCCGAGCTCGGATTCTACCCGGAATGTTTTTAATTTGCTCATGGAGTCGGCGTGATTCCAAAATGGTATGATATGTTGGATTATGGCCTCTCAGAGTGAAGTGGAAAAAAAAGTTTCAAAATATGTCACACTGACATTTGCTTTTATCATATAGATTAAGGAGATGAGCTATTGAAAGTTGTGCCCCTTTAACTGAAAAAATGTGACAAACAGCAAATAGCATATATTATATAGAAGAAGAAGATGAATTAATGAAAGTTGTGTTTCATTCAGTGTAAAAGTGTGACACACTGACATTGGCATTTATTATATAGAAGGAAATGAGCAGTTGAGAGTTTCTTTTTACGTAAAACAGCGTGACAAATTGATATTGGTATTTATTATATAGATGATTTTTTTAACATTTGCAAAAATTTATGTATCCAATACTTTTGCGTGCTACTGTTTAAATACAGTAGCGTGCAAAATGTTTGGGACAGCTTGGTAAATTAATTACTTTTGTCTATATCGTGTGTGATTAGTAGTATGCTTTCCTCAGTATATTTTATGATGTCGAGATCCAACAAACTGCTGTATTTTCTGTCTATATTTCTGAGATGGGGTATTATGTACACTATTAACATTGCTCGGACTAGCACCCTCATCTTCATTGCCATATATGTTACAAAGTTTCGGCCGTTGCACGCTCCGGCCTTCTTCAGGTGGTTGGAATGTCGAACTGAACCCTTTATTTCGCTCGCTGGGGTAGACTATTCTAGTTCCACGTGCCATGTCTAATGAATGTTAGTTATCAGCTATTTCCTGTTAATTCCCCTCTCCAAGTTCCCCAACGCCATAACCAGGTATTGAACTCACACTCTTTGGGTCCTGTCACTGGATCTAACTAATTGCAATGTGAGCTCCGGTAAAAAAAAAGCAATGATAACAGAAAAAAATTCACTTTGAGCACAGGTAAAAAATGTTGCTGAAGACATTAGGTTTATAATACCCAGAAATTCATACACAGATGTCCTCAAGGACACATGGCACAGTGGGTAAAGGCGTTGGCTAGATCCAGTGACAGGACCCAAAAAGTGTGAGTTCCTCAAGGACACATGGCACAGTGGATAAAGGCGTTGGTTAGATCCAGTGACAGGACCCAAAGAGTGTGAGTTCAATAAAGCGGTGGTTAAGGCGGTGAAGAACTTTGAGAGGGAAAATTAACAGGACATGACTGATAACTGACATCCATTAGACATGGCACGTAGAACTAGAACAGTCTTCCCCGGCGAGCGAAATAAAGGGTTCAGTTCGACATTCCAACCACCTGAAGAAGGCCTGAGCGTACAACGGCCGAAACGTTGTAATAAATATGGTGACAATGATGAGTCCGAGCAAGTAAATAGTGGTGTATTTTAGTTAATACTGTATGGTCGATGATATAAAATCTTAAGGATACAAGAATATTGGATCACCGGGGAAGATTTTAAAAAGAAAATGTTTCATTAGAAAAGTAGAAAACGTCAAGTATGGAGCTAATAATTATTTCGGATACAGTGTAACCCGGATATAAGAGAGTTGTCGGGACCGGAGAAGAAGTTTCTTATATCCGGGTTTCTCTTATATCCGGGTTTCTCTTATATCCGGGTTTGTTCTATTTTGTTTAGGTAAGTATGGGCTCTAATTTGGGACCAGAGAAAACCTCTCTTATATTCGGGTTTCTCTTATATCCGGGTCTCTTATATCCGGGTCTCTTATGTCCGGGTTACACTGTACTACTCGAATAATTGCCCCGATTTGGATTGGATGCAACACAATAAGAATTTTCCCCATTCTTCGTGACATTATTCCCAAAGTTCTTGGAGATTGTGTCGTTTTCGTTGGGACACTTGTTTCTTCAGTTCCGACCAAAATGGTTCAATTATATTGAGATCATTACTTTATGATAGCCAGTCTTCTAGAAATTAAATATCTACAAGAAACCTTTTTATTGTGAGGCAAAGAACACCGTCTCACTAAAAAGAATATATGCATTTTCCTAGTCTGGCAGAAGACTAGACAAGTAAACTAGTATAGTTTTCGCTCTTTAGGTTTCTATCAAGTTTTACCATTATTCTTCTGCCATCGCTTTTGATTCAACCAGACACCATTACGTGTTCACCATCAAATGTTACGTAATTTTTTGTTCATATTGCGCTGTTTCTGTCTCCCTCTGGATTTAGAGCAATATCACGTTGGAACACGAGTTCCCGTATGATTACCGATGTTAAGCAACGTCGAGTCTGGTCAGTACCAAGATGGGTTACCGCTTGGCAATACCAGTCGCTGTAAGTTCGGTGTGTGGGGGGTGTAATGGATAATACCTCGGATTTGTTAATCGGAGACCAGAGTTCAATTTCTATGTGCGTTCGTTATATTACTTTACGTGCAATTACACTTGGAAAAGGCTTGAATCCAACTCTTCTCTCTTCCAGCTATGGGTCAATTAGTAACATAATAAGTAAAACTTGTATTACTAAGCCATTATTATCTAAAAGAAAAATTCTAACAATTTTAAAATATTTTCTGGTTTTAATAACATGCAAAGGAGTGATAAGCCGTAGAAAGCAAATCGTTCCATCAGTTCTGCTACTGGTCTAATTACAAAATTTCTTGTATTAGAATGTAACTTTATTTTGCATTCAATAATAAAAATTACTTTTTGCTACTTACTAGTAATCCTTTTTGTGCACACTTTTGTGATGTCAACGAATACTCGTTGTCACTTTCGTAATGCTCATTGTAGTAGAGACTTTGTAATCACAGATACAACTTTAGTACGCCGTTAAACAATACTAGTGTCAGATGCCTTTGAATAACACTCTCACTAATAGTACTTGCTCGATAAGTCGTTCGAATTGTAATCCGTATAGTGATCCGAATAGAAAAATAGTATAGAGTAGAGAATAGTGGTCTGTATATTATAGAGGATAGGATAGAAACAGTGATCAATCAGACGCCACGCTAATTCCTGCTTATGCGTTTCCTCTACTTAATTCAATAATGGGCGATCTATGTTCAAACTCAAGTGTCGGCAGCGACACTTTATTCCTAAATAACACATTTTAGATGTTCTTTTGGCCACTTCTATTATCTATTCCGAAGTTTTTTTGTTTTTTTTTAACGTTCTATTTTTTTCGATGTTCAGGTTTTTTTTTTTTTTTTTTTTTTTTATACTCTGCGTACTATATTAACTGGAATCACATTGTCAAGTTTGCATTACTTGTCTATCTGTTAATTCTGGATTGCCTTCCGAGACTATAACAAACTTTCCTTCATCTCTCGTGTTGAACTACTGTGAATAAAAAAAAAAATGAAACAATTGCTACTTCGAAATTTGATTATTATCATGACTAACATCCCAGGTCTTTTATTGACACAATAATTATGCATTGGCCATTTTCATCTTGAAGCTTCTTAACGCCATGTATCTTCTGTTACACCTACAAAAATACAAATTATTTTCCAATCCTCGAGGTCCACGGGCACGATTAATAAAAGCATGATGCTAAACGATCTTAAATTCTTAAGAAAATTAAAAGTGTAAAATCATTTGTTGTATTTGGCCCAAAACTTTTTTAACGGCAGTGTAGTCCAGATTCTTATTAACCCACGTGGCCTGACGATAGTTTTAAAATGCGAAACAGACTATCGTCATCCAGTGTTGATATCTATGTCCTTACTGGTTATATAAATACATGCATAAATATTTTAAGATAATTTATTGTTATGCGTTATTTATATAGACAGAAATATTTAAGTAAATGCTCTGTTTATATTAAACAGGATAAACAACATATATAAAAAGAGCATTAACGTATAACAATAAAATATCTTAAAGTAAACATCGGTCCATTTCATATTGTGATATATATATATTGGAGGAAAGATGTATAACAAAGTGGAAAAAGTGTTCTTGTGCAGCGTTACGTAAATTAGAATTTAATCAGACAAGGTTTGTTTACGTTGATGCGAATGCCAATGCGCACGGGCGACAGACACTTGAAATTTTATATTTAGAAATATATATATATATATATATATGTGTGTGTTTGTGTGTGTGTGTTTTGTTTGTTTTACTTATATAACATAGCCGATTTAATTTAGATTTGTTTTCTTTTTGTTTCTTTCATTTTTGATATTGAATATCTCACATTATGCCAACAGAAGATCTGGCGAGGATAGCGAAAAGTCGCAAGAACCTGGAACGAAATTTACTTTGGATGAATTTGTGATTAAAGCACTTTCTTAACATTTTAGTCTGAGTGAATTATTTTCTCTTTTATTTTTGATTTAATTTACAAACACCCCACACACACACGCACGCATACACATACATATGGTCTCAGATGAGCTTGAAAGTACTTGGGGAAAATAAAAATTATTTGAAAGAAAATGTTGGTATTTTTCTTGATCGATTTTCTACAGCCACCAAGAAATTAATTCATGGACTTGAAAGGATTAAAACTAAACTAAATAAACATAATAGGTCTTAGTTATTTCACCAAACATGTTTGAATGAAAATATGCTACTTAAGTATACAGATACGTCATTATATATATATATATATATATATATATATATATATATATATAAAATAATATTTTTTTTGATTAAAAATATGATTCCTTATTTTGTTTAAAAATATGATTCCTGATTATGATTAAACAAAAGAATATTATTATAATAAAGCTCTACTTATGTATGGACAAAATTCTTAAAAATAAAAAAAAAATACTGAGGAACTCCGGATTATGCACCCAACGTGCATGACTCTGCACTATATATATATATATATATATATATATATATATGTATATAAAGACATATGTTTATTTAGCCATCATATTTTCATTCAGCATATTTTGTTTATATATATATATATATATATATATATATATATATATATATATATATAGCTTTATATAAGGACATATGTTTATTTAGCCAGCATATTTTCATTCAGCATATTTTTTGATTATATATATATATATATATATATATATGTATATAATGACATATGTTTATTTAAAAAAATATTTTCATTCAGCATATTTTCATATATATATATATATATATATATATATATATATATGTATATGTATATAAAGACATATGTTTATTTAGCCAGCATATTTTATTCAGCATATTTTTCATATTATATATATATATATATATATATATATATATGTATATGTATAAAAAGACATATGTTTATTTAGCCAGCATATTTTTTCATTCAGCATATTTTCATATTATATATATATATATATATATATAGGACATATGTTTATTTGTAAAAGCATATTTTCATTCAAATATTTTATATTATATATATATATATATATATATATATATATGACATGTTTATTTAGCCAGCATATTTTAATTCAGCATATTTTCATATTATATATATATATATATATATATATATATATATATGTCCATATTCATATTATATTTTCAAATATTTATTTACACACACAGAGACGCGTGCACGCGTGCACGTGTGTGTATACACGTGTGCATATGTGTGTGCAGTCTCTTCTTTATGTCAATTGTTTATGTATTAACAATCATTGACGAAAGAGTTTATCAAGCTTTATACAAGAGTTTTGAAGATGGGGCCGTTTATTTGATTTCTCAAAAACATTTTTACAGGGTTTGGCACGCTTGTCGTCTTCACAAGTTGAAAGGTTATGTCATATCCGGGCGAACCTTTATAGCGATTCAGTCTTCCTAATCAAATCGCGTAATGAAAATTGTCTTAAACAGCCACTTCTCTTGATAGTTTTGTATTAATGTAGTTGTCACCCAGGGCTCTACATTTGAATTTGCGTTGTTCTTAATCTTCATTAACAATCTTCCTGATGTCATCAATTCTCAACTCGTTATCTATGCTGATGACACAACTATCTACTCCTGTTTACATAGTATATCTGATCAGTTCGATAAATTCATCTTGGCAACTATTCTAAAATAAAAAATAAAAACATGAAGTAAAAGGGCATGTGATTATCTTGTTAAATCGTCTCAGAACGACAGATGACTCTTGCGATGGAGGGATAAAGATTTCTGTGCGAAGCTTAAAGTTATAGTGGGTCCCTCCTCCCAACGTTCGCCCAGGCCAATTCTCTCTTCTCTCTTAAAGAATTTTCTCCCGTCCGCGTTTTTCAGCATAACTACGCGTTTATATAGATAAACCAGGCTGGTTATAACTGACACTCAACCCTACTACTTTGCACATGATTATCACGGGGTTCTGGCTGCTTCAACTAAAATCATGTGAATTCCAAAGTTCCTTCTAGCTTACTCAGCTCTATTTCAATTTTTAATCAATAAAAATTATTTTGAACATTTCCATTGTCTACTGATGACTCATATTCAATGGGTACAACTACTGCCCTAGATCAGATTTCCACACCAGTAAACAAAATGCTCTGATTTAATTTCGCTATTCAAATCTATTCCAATTTCACTAAAAAAAATATACGTGAGTGTGTTTCCAGACTCTCTCTCTCTGTCTCCCCCCCCTCTCTCTCTCTCTCTCTCTCTCTCTCTCTCTCTCTGCCACAAAAGCGAAATAAATCCTCCCTCTTTTAGCCGTCTGAGAGAACACTTTTTTTCATTTCATCAGCATGGCTGGTGCTAATCTACAGGAGTGAATCGTTGTGTCTGCTTGAGCTAACCTATTCTACTGATATTAGGTGATAAAACTATACTGAATCAATTGCTATGCCTGTTGCTTGGGAAATTGGTTCATTGCTTCGTGCTAGACAATTTCTCTCTCCAGAATCCTATCCATTTATAAACCTGCCATTCGTCCGTGCATTGAATATTATTGTTACATCTGGTCTAGTGCTTCTGCTGTGTATTAAAAGATTCTTGATAAAATCCAAGGAAGAATCTGCAATGTTTATTGTTCTGACCTGGCACTTCGGCTTCAATCAGTGTAGCTACCCTATCCCATGTCTATAAATATTTTAATGGTAACTGATATGATAATCTTTTTTCTGTGGTAGCCATACTTGATGACGGTAAGAGCAGGAAATGTTTGTCACAAAGGTGGCTGCTTTTACAGTTAAAATGTATACATGTAACCGTAATGATATATATATATATATGATAACAGCTTTTTCTCTCGCACATCTCCCTTGTGGATATCTCGTGTAACTTTTTAATCAAATTGAATTTTTTTTTAAATTAAATGCATTGTTAATCGTTATCGTCTGTTTCATATTTTTTTTTCTTTTATTGAGTCTCTATCCTTAATATTGCTTTTCTCATATTC